TGACCCCCCATATAACGGCCTCAACTATTTTATTGTTTTTTGAAAAGTTTCACAGCATTATCCAAACGGTTTAGTTGTAATTTGCAAGTTGGGTTCCAATTTGTATTTGGGTTCCATAAAACCATTGGTGATTTAAAGCAGGGTACAAGCGGGTTTCATTCTCTATTCGAATCCGAGCGGGAGTACTCCTGTGGGTTTTACTATAATCTACTCGAAATCGAGCAGATTAATTACCAAAAATATGAGCAATTAAATAATAGCTGTAATCAATTATCGTCGTTAAATCTGTAAAAAATTACATAATCGCACTATTGATCTGTTGTAAATTGTAATCATATTATATTCATTGATGTGTTCATGATTCATACATTCATTCAAAGCCATCCATTTTAGCAGGAAGTACACCAGCTATGTATTGCATTTTTAACTGAAAGACCCTTTCAAATTTAATTCTGAGCAGGACTCCTAAGAAACCACTTCTTCGCAAATTTAAATTTCTTGTCGGCTTTTTTTGTAGGTCTACTACTTTTTAGCTCCTCGGCGGGTATTTGACAGGGGGGGAAGCAAACAATTTTTGTAAATCTTCAAAAATCGAAACATTCCAATTTTCGCCCACCCCAAAGAAATATTTTATTATTTTATCCCAATTTTTATTTTGTTCAAGTTATACTCTTTTTTAATTTATCTCTTACACACACACACTTAAAACACGCTCTCTCTCTCTCTCCCTTATTTGAGCATATTCTGAAATCCTATCAATTGTCGCATTTCATTCGTATATATGTACATATAAATACAATTTCAGATATGCATGTGAAGCGTATTTGGCTAGGCATCTCAAATATCATTATCCGGATAAAGAATTTATTTGTGAAATATGCGGGGCGGTCAAGCCGACATTAGACACTCTCAAGAAGCACGAGAAAAAGGTGCACGCACCCAAGGTGGCGGCCCAGTGTAAATATTGTCAAAAATGGTATGCAACACGATCGCACATGTTGCGGCATGTGCTCAACATGCATACGACAGCGGACAATGAACATCGTTGTGAGATTTGTGGTTTTGTATCGACGACGCGTACCGCATTGCGACAGCACAAACGCTTCAAGCACAATCCCGAAAAGAAACACAAGTGTACGATGTGTGAGAAGGCGTTCAAGACGCCAACGCTGTTGAAAGTAAGTCCAAAGTTTTTTCTGGATGTTTATTTTGTTGTCTAATGCATATTTAATGGGATCTTGCAGGAGCACATGGCCACCCACACGGGCATCGATTTGTATAGCTGTGCCTATTGTGAGGCCTCATTTAAATCGAAATCGAATCGTTACACTCATTATAGGCGTCATCACCCAGCTGAATATAATGCCACAATTGTGAAACGGGATTTACCCAAGGCCATATCAAGTTATGAAATGGTTACGGCTGCAAGTGTTTCGAATCAGAATACAATTGTAAATCAAATGGAATCTTTGAATCAAGCTGAAATTGGTTAAAATTTCATGATATTCTTAAGACTTAGTTGTAGATATTTTAATAAATTAATTTTATTATATGAGAGAGAAAATTTGGATACTTTTTTAATTTATAGAAAAAAATTCTGCTGGTCTTATATTGATTAACGAAATGTTTAGCATAAATGGTGTTTCCATTTAAATACCGGATGGTATGCATTAGAAATGCGCAGTAAAACTAACTAATAGTACGTTTAGTTAGTAAATACATTGGATTTAAATTGCGAATTCTAATGCCTAAGAAACTCTAATGGGTCATTTTTCGTACCTAGTGTTCCCTATTTATTACAGCACTTATCGAATAAAATCAAAAATATAATATAAAATATATAAAAATGCAAAATATTAAGCCATGTTTACGTTAGAACTTTTTTCAGGGCTAACCTACTTCAAGAGTATTTATTTGAAGTATAAGTAATGGATATGACAATTTTAATCCAAATCCAGTGGGTTAACCCATTTGTATGTTAATGTACTGTATCGACACAGCTGCTGGGACAATGAACTGTCAAACCGATTTTGGAATGAATGAAAAATTATTTATATTTGCAAAAATTGTTGAGAAACGCGAATGACGTCGTATAAGAAAACATATAAAAATCTACTTATATTTGATAGAACATTTAAAATTTTTTGACATATCAATGTTCCCAAGCGTTGATGCATCTACCTGTATTATTCTACCATGATCTGACCAATTTTTTTATGTTTATAAATATCGTGTGATACATGGTCGCTACACGAGTAATGTACGTGTGTAAAAAAAATAAAATAAAAAAATAATCAAATGTCTTGTTTGTTGTGTGATAATATATTAAAGTAAATTTACAGAAAAACATTAGTACCAAAAAATCAAAATTAATTATAAATAAGTAAAAAACATTAAGTTCGGCCGGGCCGAACTTTTAATACCCTCCACCATTAGGTTGAGGAAACATTTTTATATAAAAGTATCTGAATTCAAACGTGTTCCACTTTAAACTTCAAATACCAGTAAGACCGTTTGGATAATGCTGTTAAACTTTTCAAAAAAACATAAAATGGATGAAGCCGTTATATGGTCCCCACATACCAATACCTATAGACAATTTTATACTTCAAGGATTGTCATCTACCAAATATTCTTAAATACCAAATTTGAAACAATTTCGTGGGTAAATGTGAACTAGGATTATCAAAACTCCAAATATCGGTGGGTATCGTTATATGTGCGCTATAGAATTACTTAAACGTAAATATTCAATATTTTGCCACCGGAGCTAGATCAAATTATGAACTACAAATAACAATTTTAGAAAAATCCGTGAAAAAAATGTGGCAAAAATCATCAAAACACCGAATATCGGGGACCCCCTATATGACGGCTATATCAAAAAGTGGACCTATATACCATGTTCCGGCAACAGAGCTAAAGTCCATTACGGACTACAAATACAAATTTTTAGACAAGTCCGTGGGGAAATGTGGCAAAAATCCTCAAAATACCAAATATCGGGAGCTATAACAAAACGTGGACCTATATACATGATGTTCCGCCACCGGAACTAGAATTCATTACGAACCACAAACACCAATTTTTAGACAAATCCGTGACAAAATGTGGCAAAAATCATCAAAATATCGAATATCCGGAGGTGATGGCTATACCAAAACCGAGGGACCGATATATCTCATTTTCAAATTCAGATTGTTCTGCCAAATTTTGAAGCTCTACCTCAAATAATGTGGGCTGTATCGAAATTTAATATACAGGCAGGCGGACATCGTTAGATCGACTTAAACACTTCAACAAAGTCAAACGCCAAAAATATTTACATTTTTTTTAATTTTATTGAATGTCGGAAATAGCATCAAATTTTTGAATAAGTTAGATTTGTTTGAATTGGTCACCTTTGGCACGAATTATGGCCTTCAAATGGCAAATGAAACCGTCACACGCTGCCCAAATGTTGCTCTGCGGATTTTGGCCCATTCCCGGCGAAGCGCTTGCTTGAGGTGATCGACACTTTGATATTTTTTAGTGCCAACCTTGCTTTCCAAAATACTCCCGACACAATAGTCCAACGGATTGGTATCCGGAGATTTTGATGGCCATTATGAGTTGGAAATGAAGCGAGGAACTTTATTTTGTAACCTTTTTTGGGTGGCGCGTGCTGAGTCCTGTTGGAATGTCCAAGGTCTGCGGCCAAAATATTTGCGTGCCTAAGGCATTTATTCTGATGCCACGGCCGATTAATACGAGCGGCGAGCGACCATCACAGGGTGCACATTTTCAGCTGACCTCTTTGGCAAGTAAACACGATCATTTTGTTTGTTTACAAACTTCTGGACAACGAATGTTTTCTCATTGGAGTAAAACAAATTCGGCAGTTCACCACTTTCCGCCAAGCAAAACAACTCTTTAACTTTTTTGAGTCTATTTTCTTTCTGTTGCGGTGTAAGTTCTTGCACTTTTGGAATTTCAATGGCTTTACTCCGAGCTTATTTTTTAATATTTGCCGAATGGAATGTTGCGATATGTTTAGCTCACGAGCCATTTTTCGGCCACTGCAAAGCGGGTTTCGATCAAGTCGCTTCTTAACTTTTCGAACCATTTCCGCCGATGTTGCTGTTTTCTTCCGTGCACTTCCTTGACGTCGGATTACGCTAGCAGTATCACTGTAACGAGCGATGGTACGAGACACAAAAGATTTATTCACATTTAAATGCTGGTGTGCTCTAACGATAGCCACTTGTGGTTTTCCAGCCAAATATAAAAAAATTACACTGGCACGCTTGAATTCCGGCACGAATAATTTTTCTCTGGAAAATTCTCACCAAAATGCTTTTGTACGCTTGTAAACAATATAATGAGCTGTCACTGGAGTAATTTTAACAGCTGTCGAATGAGTGGCTTAGAAATGACTGCAGTCTGAAGTTGGTTTCAGTTTTTTCATCTCACCCTGTATATACATTATGGGGTCTATGACGTATATTTGGGGATGTTACAAACGAAATGACAAACTTAATATACCATCCTATTCAAGGTGGTATAAAATATCACAGAACTGAGCTTATTTAAATAATTGCAACTGAATATTGGCGATTGATGTTATCCTGGCTGTCTTTGATGTTTATAGATTTATGTATTTTCTCTTGAATTCGTAGGCTCTCGAAAGTGCATCGTACATTTTCTCACTGCTCTTTGTATCTGTAATTTTCTTCTCTCTTCTCTCTTCAAGAGGTTAAAAAGAAATTGTGCCTACGAACGTTGAATAATGTCATACGTTAATTCATCTATATAGTTTTTAAGAACGAACAACATTATTCAAATTGCAATTAGAACATGGTATTAGAAACCATAGTTGAGGAATACCTAGGTCGATTTTGGATTTTTACGTCATGAATTTTAGGTGTCTTCAATTTTATGTTACCCGATTTTATAAAATGATCAACGTATCCTTAGTTTAGATTTTCCATTAATTTAATAAGGCCCACATGCAAAGAAATTGAACTTGATCAAATTAGCACTGCAACAAGTTCTGATAGGTTTTTTTTTCGATTAAGCCTAATCAGCTGTGAAATTGATGTTGATTTGTGGCCAAGTATACTCTGGTATGTGCCGGACTTTTAAGAAGCATTCCCAAAATTGATTTCAAACACTTTAAACTAGTTATTATTTTTGCTCTAGAAATGAAAAATTCCTCAAAAGAAAAAAAAAAACAAAATCGAGAAAAAAATTCAAACAAAAACCAACAACTTCCATTTCTTCTTCATTGCCATTGCAGATTTTCATGTAAAATGTCTCTGACAAATCACACAAAGATTCATGTACCTTCGAAGGGTATAATTTGTGATATTTGCGGTACCGTGACCGCATCCATCAACTCGCTGCAGCATCACAAGAAAAAAGTCCATGAACCGAAAATTCCACGTCAGTGTGAACACTGTGGCAAATGGTATTCGAGTCGATGGTCAATGCAACGACATGTCATCAACATGCATGTGCATGCCGAGGAAGATCATACCTGTGAAATATGTGGTTTTGTCTCCTCGACGCGTGAGGCTAAAAAGAAACACATTCAATATCGTCACAATCCGGAAAAGCGACACAAGTGTGCCATGTGTGAGAAAGCCTTTAAGACACCGACTTTATTGAAAGTAAGTTTTGTTTTGAGATTTTCGCCCCTTTTTTGATTTTCTAACTAACCAGTTGCGGCTTCTCTTGCAGGAGCACATGGCCACGCATACCGGAATTGATTTGTATAAATGTCAGTTTTGTGTTGCCACATTCAAATCGCAATCGAATCGTTCAACCCACTATAAGCGTCACCATCCCACGGAATACGTACCGAACATGACCCGACGTACTCGGCCAACGGCAATAGTCAAAGAAAACGCCATTTCGAATGAGCCTCATTCAGGGAATGAGATTGAAAATAATAATGCCGATTTTATGGAGGGATATGTGGGTGTAGTAAATCAATCGGGTCTTTTGTAGGCTGAATTTGGAAGAATTGTGAATTTTTTGTGTTTTTTTTTTCATCTCTAGTCGTTAACCCATGTGTAAATTATGTCCTACTAATTTTTTGATTTTAGAATACACTAGCTCTTATTTAGAACCCTTTTTTAATAAAGAGTTATTTCCATATACTACATTATAAAATATCGCAAGACTATTAAATTTTCGCAGGTAACATTTCTCTTTTTATACCCTACACAATAGTATGGTATATTAAGTTTGTCATTCTGTTTGTAACACCTCGAAATATACATTTTAGATCCCACAAAGTATATAGAGGTGAGATAAAAAACTGCAGAAAGTCAAACACAATGATTTAATTTGATTTTTAAATTTTATTGAATGAAAGCAATAAAATGTCGGAAATAGCATCAAATTTTAGAATAAGTTTAGATTTGTTCGAATTGGTTACCTTTGGCAAGAATTATGGCCTTCAAACTGCCAATGAAACCATCACTCGCTGCCCGAATGTTGCTCTGCGGTATTTAGGCCCATTCCCGGCGAAGCGCTTGCTTGATATGATCGATTAGTACCAACCTTGCTTTCCACAATACTCCAGACACAATAGTCCAACGGATTGGTATCCGGAGATTTTGGTGGCCATTGTGCGCTGGAAATGAAGCGAGGAACCTCATTTTGTAACCATTCTTGAGTGGCGCGTACTGAGTCCTGTTGGAATGTTCAAGGTCTGCGGCCAAAATGTTCGCTTGACCAAGGCATTAATACTCCCTCCAGAATATTTTCGCGATAATATTCGGCATTTATTCTGCTGCCACGGTCGATTAATACGAGCGGAGAGCGACCATCGGCTGTTATGGCGCCCCACACTATCACCATAGCCGGCGTTTGAGTTCTGGTGGCCAACCGAAGTTGCACATTTTCTGCTGACCTCCTTGGCAAGTAAATGGGATCATTTTGTTTGTTTACAAACTTCTGGACAACGAATGTTTTCTCATCGGAGACGGAGTTCACCACTTTCGGCCCAGCGAGGCAACTATTTAGCTCTTTTGAGTCAATTTTCTTTCTGTTGCGGTGTAAGTTCTTGCACTTTTTTAGAATTTCGCTTCTTTATATTTCGAACCATTTCTGCTGATGTTGCTGTTTTTTTCGGTTCACTTCCTTGACGTCGGGCTACGCTATCAGTATCATGGTAACGAGCGATTGTACGAGGCACAACAGATTTATTCACATTTAAATGCTGGAGTTCTCTAAGGATAGCCACTTGTGGTTTTCCAGCCAAAAATAAAGAAATCACACTGTCACGCTTGAATTCCATCACGAATAACTTTTTTTCTGGAAAATTCTCACCAAAATGCTTTTGTACGCTTGTAAACAATATAATGAGCTGTAACTAGAATAATTTTAACAGCTGTCGGACGAGTGGCTTAGAAATTACAGTAGTCTGAAGTTGGTTGCAGTTTTTTCTTCACAACCAGTAATTAGAGTTTCGAAGTCTCATACATTTCAAATAGCCTGCTAAAATTACTACTGGTTTACAGTAGAACTAAGATATCCCTATTATCCTAGAAAAAAGATCACATCGTTGTCTTAACATTTCCTTAAAGGTCTACCAAATATAACACTTTTAGAGTTGTGGAGTTCCCTCAACTTTTTTCTCTGTACGAAATCGCTATTTTGATATTCTCCAACATTTCAAAATCCATTACATTTTCAGATTTGCCACGAAAATTCTCTTGCACAGTCACATTCGATATCACAGTCCCTCGAACTTGGTGGTCTGTGATATTTGTGGCAAGACAATGCGCAGCCGCGACACACTGAAAAAGCACAAAAATGCTATACACGTTAAGAAACCCAAAGTTCCCGAACAGTGCAGCTATTGTGGCAAATGGTATTCGACCCGGGGTACCCTACAGACGCACGTTCTCAATATGCACATACACATTAATCAAGAACATCGCTGTGAGATATGCGGTTTTGTGTCCACGACCCGAGAGGCTAAAAAGAAACATATACGCTTTAAGCACCGGGCTGAAAAGCGACACAAATGTGGACTGTGTGAGAAGGCCTTTAAGGTACCCACCCTGTTGAGGGTAAGTAAAAACAAAAACGTTGGTTCACACCATTTGTTCTACTAATATTTTGTGTTTGTGTGTTTTCAGGAGCATATGGCCACCCATACCGGAGTGGACTTGTATAAATGTGCCTTTTGCAGTGCCACTTTTAAATCGAAATCGAATCGTATAAATCACTGCAAACGCCATCATCCTTTGGAGTATAACACTTCCATAAAACAGGAGCCCATAACTCAATCAATAAATATTGAATTAGTAACGGAAAATGTCGATGAAGATGACGAAGGTGGTCTTGTGATATATGAATTTGAAGAGATTGATACTGAAGATATTATTTGAATTAACAAAACAAATTGCCTTACAATAAAATTGAATTGAATTTAATAGAAATAAAAAAAAATATATGTATATGATTATTTATTTTGATATCAAGATTCTGAAGAGTAATAGAAAAAAAGCTTATGTTTAAGACTCTATAAGACTATTTTTTTTTTCACATAAGTAATTTTAAATTTTCCATATGTTAAAGTTAGACATATCGTGTGATACATGGACGCCATTTTAGTTGTGAAATACATGAGTAATATACGTATGTATTTTTTCGATCACTGCGTGTCCTATTTTCATCCTAAAACTAATAATTTAATCAAATGTCTCGTATATTGTGTGGGAATATATTAAAGTTAATTTACAGAAAACCAAAATTTATAAAATGCAACCAAAAAAGCAGTAAGTTCGGCCGGGCCGAACTTTGAATATCCTCCACCATTTGGAACGAATTTAGAAATTAAAAAAAAAATAAATAAAATAAAATCTTAAAAAATACTAAATACATCCATTATTTTATTTATTTATTTTTTTTTTTTAATTTCTAAATTCGTTCCAAATGGTGGAGGATATTCAAAGTTCGGACCGGCCGAACTTACTGCTTTTTTTGGTTGTATTTTATAAATTTTGGTTTTATATCGTAGCTATTCGAAGACCTGGATCTGCATAGACAAATTTCAGTCACAGGCTGTAGTACCTATTAGGAACTTCCAATACGAAATTTCAAACAATTTCGGTGAATATTGCACCTAAAATAAAAATCAAAATACCGAATATAGGGAGTTACAGATTTATGGGGCCTATACGAAGACCTGGACCTGCATAGACAATTTTCCGTCATAGACTGTAGTTGGCATTACGAATTCCAAATACGAAATTTGAAACAAATTCGGTGAACAATATCGCTTAAATCATCAAAATACCGAATATATGGAGCTACTGATATATGGGACATATACGAAGACCTGTACCTGCATAGACATTTTTCTGTCATGGACTGTAGTTCCGATTACGAATTCTAAATACGAAATTTAAAACAACTCCGGCGAATAATGTCCCTAAAATCATTAAAATACAGAATATCGAGAGGTACCATTGTATGTTGGCTATACGATATCGTGGATCTATATAGACATTTCTTTTCCAGGGGATAAAGTGCTTAGAAAAAAATTTCTAGTACGGATTTTTAGATAATTTCATTGAAAAATATAGCAAAAATCATCAAAATACCGAATAAAGGGAGGTGGGGGATAAACGATATCGTGGAACGATATAGAAAATACTCTTCCAGTGGGTAAAGTGCCTAGAAAAAATTTCTAGTACGGATTTTTAGACAATTGAAAAATATAGCTAAAATAATTAAAATACCGAATAAAGGGAGGTACCGTTATATGGGGGATATACGATATCGTTGAACAATATAGACAATACTCTTCCAGGGGGTAAAGTACTCAGAAGGAACTGCCTTTGTGGATTTTCACACAACTTAATTGGACATTTTGGCTGCAATCATCAAAATACAGAATATCGGGGGTACCGATATATTGTATATATCGTGGACCGATATAGTCCATCTTCGATCTTGACCTGCTTGCAGGCAAACGACTAATGGGTGAAAATTTTAGCTTCTTATCTTTATTCGTGTTGACCCTAGTGTGATTACAACAGACGGACAGAGGGACAAACGGACGGACGTCTTAGAATTTTACGCTGATCAGGAATATATACTATACTTTTTAAGGTCTAATTTGATGAGTTACAAATTGAATGAAACCCACATGTATAATAAAACTGGGAGCACATGTATAAAATACACTCCGCCAGATAGTGGTTTTAGCAGCGCTAAAGGCTAAAACAGATCAACGCAACAGATCTGTTTTTGTCTTAACGCCTGTGTTCGTCTTAGGGTAATATAGCCCGATTTTTGACACCGAAAGTCGATGGAGGATTGGAACCTGATTTATAAAATATATCTTCTGAAAATGTAAGACCTCGCTAAATTTTAAGAAGCGGCTCATGGACCACATGATTAAAATGCATTATGCAGACAACATTATGCAATGCGTGGGGTAATAAAATTATGAGCTATGACCTGGGGAACGTTTTCTTACAAAATTGTACAGTACTTGTTTGCTCTGACCCAGAACCCCAAGAAAATTCAAATGTTACGACTATAACTAATTTTTTTTACCCTCCACCTTAAGAAGGAGTGTATATTAACTTTGGTATTCCGTTTGTAACATCCCCAAATATTCGTCATAGACCCCATTAAGTATATATGTATATTCATGATCAGCACAAAGTTCTAAGTCGATCTAACGATGTCCATCTGTTTGTCTGTCTGTTGAAATCACGATAAGGCCCACATTATTTGACGTAGAGCTTCAAAATTGGGCAGAACAATTTGTATTGTGTCTAGGATGGTTAGTATTGAATATATCGGTTATCGTTTTGGTATAGCTGCCATTACACGGTACCTTCCAAAATTTCCTTGTTTGATAATTTTTCCCAAATTTTTCTCGGTTTTGCCTGAAAATTAATATTAGTAGGTTATTATGAGTTCCAGCTCCGTTGGCGGAATATAGTATATATAGGTCCACGTTTTGATATAGCCGCCATATAACGGTACCTCCCGAAATTCACTTGTTTTGATGATTTTTGTCACATTTTTCTAAAAATTAGTATTTGTAGGTCATAATGGGTTCTACCTCCGGTGGCGAAACATTATATGTAGAGGTCCCCCATATAGCGGAACCTCTCGATATTCGGTA